TTTCATATTTTCTTGATTCTGATTGGCTTACAGTTTTTCTCAGATCAGTTGGTTTTGGCGAGAGATGGTGCATTAGGCAGCGTCAATCATCCCGTATTAGTTTTGTCTAAAACTGCCATCGATTATGTCGAGAAATAATCGTGACCTTTAAATGTTATTGCGTGATTTTGCTTCCGTTTGCAATTTAACATGGCSCTAAAAAACATGACATAATTAGGACAACTGATTATATAAATTATATTATCGTATATGACGAAGCTAATAAATTAAAAAATTAAGTTAAATATAGCCATTAATGGACAACTTCGACGATACGGGGGCCATCTTGAATCACAAGGCATTATGGGTCGTCCAGGAGGCAAATATGCAAAGCTTTGTTACATTTACAGTTCACAACAAGACAGTTTGACAAAAGATGAATTAAAATATGTGAACGGTTCTAAAGCAGAGGAAATTTCTCAAATATCGTGGGGTGGTCATCATTTCAACATCTTTGTTTCAATAGGCCTCTTCGGCTCTGACGTAATGTTTTCCCATTTCAGACCACATGTCATTCCCTAGAGTATCATTTCTTTGTTTAAGGTTTGCGCTCGGTTGCACATGAGAAGACACTTGAATATGGATACAACTCAAACAAGGAATATTATTCTCAAGGGAATGACACGTGGTCTGAAATGGGAAACATTAGCCCAAGCCGAAGAGGTCTATTGTTTACCGCTTATCATATTAGTTTTGCCTAACATTGCTACAAAATATGGCAATTAGTCGTGTGAGCTACTGTACATGTAATGTGTGTGGCACATTAGCTTGAAGAGGCCGCCTGAGGTTTGAAATATAAGCCGCAAATATCTCTTATCCTAGTTTTAGTGTTTCTTTGTTTCACAATATCTTTTTAAAGACATATGTATCCGCCAGACAATCCAAAAGCACGAGGCGATAAAACTCCATCCGGTCAGTCTTGGTCTTGCTTGGATTTAATTTCCAATCAATCAGTCGAGTAATTTTTTATAGCATTACTTTATCTTTGCTAACAAGAAGCCCTTCATCTGTTCGTTCAACTCGAACACGTGCCCAACAAATCAACCACTAATTAACCAATCAGTGACAGATGACCGACCACCGGAAAAACAACAAAAAATGGTCCAATCAGAGTTAAGATGAGTGTTACGTCATAGCGACAGCTTGATGCACTGTCTTTTTGTTAAGATTTAGATTTGTTCTGCTTAATTTGGAGTGTTTGTTCTGAAAAGCGATATGTCGGGCTTTTTCGTAAAAGAACTTTCAATTCAAAAGTCTAGTTCTGTCAAGAAACGATCTACTCGAAAATGCTACGAGTTTGTGATCGGAAAAAGGCCTTCACGACGAGGAGTGAGTATTTTTACGCTTTAGTTTTCTCGTTATACAAGGGGTTTTCATTGTTTATGGRCCTGAATCCAAATACAGGATTGTCAAGCTGAACCTATGTAAACACGAGTGTAAATCTCCACTTAAAGAAAGAAAAAATCACTTAAATATATTCAATTATTTKAAAAGTAATTTTCGACTTTTTCTCTATCAGGGTTGAGTTTTTTGTTCATTTAAAATCGTTTGTCTGAGGAATTACGAGAAAAAGACGGAGAAAYGAATATTGATAATATTTAAAGTGTGACAATACAGACTGAACGAGTAATAGTAATTCAAACAAATGTTTACAGACAAAATARCCCACGGATAGATATATAGATTAGCTTTCGTTCAATTGTTTTAAACAAAATCACGGAGAACATATTATCGAAATTATAGTCCCAAACAAGTGGAAAATATAACCATGTATTTGAAGAATTTAAAACAATTGAAGGGTTTATTAAGGAAAGTTAACGTAAAAAATAAAAAGTTTAAAAGCAGTTATCAGATTTTGGGAAATGAATTATTTGAATATACCATTGAAATCGCCAAAATAAAACCATGTATTCAGTTGAAGGATTTAAAACAAAAAAAGGGTTCATTATTAAGAAAAGTTAACGATGAAAATGTTAAAAGCAGTTATGGGAAACGATTTATTTGAATGTGTTTTGAATATAATGATTGAAATCGCCAGAAAAGAATTGCAAGCTTTTTTCGAGGGAGTCAAATTTATCCCAGACTCAAACCGAATCACCAAAGCAACATTGGTCTTAAAAGTAAACAACCTTTAATTTAGCTACCGTTAATATTTTTCCATATTGTCGAAGAATATATACTATTAGTATAGGAAATCTCACGATCTCGAGTACAATTCGGAATTTATAGGTACGAATGATGTTTGGAAAATTTCCCAAATTAATTGGACAAGCCTCTAGGCGAGTTCAATTTGAGAACTTTCAAAACATCACGAGTATCTATTAAAATTCCTAATTATATGAGAAGATTGTGCGATTTTTTCAGTTATAATAAAAACAAAATTGAGCAACTTAATTGGGACTCTAAAGCCCCGTTTACACTAGCGATTTTTGCAGCGACTCTTGCTGCGATTTGTTTGCGATTTTGTCCATAATAAATAATGGTAAAGAATTTACTTGTAAAGTTTTTTTCAGGATACCAAGATTTTCCTAGACGAATGTCTCTTTTGAAGGATGAGACAAAAGATTTCATATTTCCGAAAATTGCCACAAGAATCGCAGCAAAAATCGCCGCAAAAATCGCCAGTGTAAAAAGGTCTTAAAGAGTACAATTTGGAATTTGATCTTCTCTTGTCTAATCAGAATCGAGTAATTTTGTTGAGTGTATTGAAAACAAAAAATACTAAGGTCGTATATTTAAATGATGGAGGAAAAAATGAACTAAGTTTTATTTCCTGGGTATTCTTAAACTCCATTCGCTTAAATTTTTTGGCATTTTTAATTTCCTTGTATTCCCTAATCTTCTTAAAACAATGTTTAAAAAATATGAATAATAGAAATCGAAATTACCCTCCTCCGCAGGCATCTCCTTGGCTCTTTTTTTGCTCCTTGGGCTTCCTGTCGCGAAAAGCCTCCTCTCTCGTTCCTAGTTCTTCTCTGCCATAAAATTCAACACAGGGATCCCAACAGAGAACATAGATCCTCAAAAGAGAATATATGGGGTAGCCTGCAGAGGAGGCTAAATAGAAAAGCTTTATTTTATTATTATTAACTTATTATTATCTTTGAGTGCATGGAAGCATAAAGTATCGGCCGAAAAGCTTACTTTACCTAAAGAGACTTTGCACCATCACGTGATGGCAGCAATGACAGGAGGCAGGAACAATAGACCCGTTTCGAATTCCAAATTACCGCTGTGTTTCTTGATTACAGACTCATTTGCACAGGGTTAGCCTCGAGTTTGTGCAGAATATTCACGTGTTCCAGTCAAGGTCCGTCGAGTTTCAAAGTGTTTGTAATGTTGAAGTTGTGCATTCTTTACTTGACCGTTGGTATTTGTGAGTATTTAAACACTGATACGAGGCTAACCCTGTGCAAATGAGTCTGTAATCAAGGAAAACAGCGGTAATTTGGAATTCGAAACTGGTCTATTGAATCTGGTCTAATCCGATTTACATGAGAATGAATTCAGTTTCCCAGGGGAGAACGACTCTATTGTTATGCCTACTGTCATGGCTGCCATCACGTGATGAAGCAAAACCTCTATAGACCTTTCTCGAGTTCCAAAATACTCTTGTTTCTTGATTACAGACTCATTTACTAAGGCTTAGCCTCGAATCATTGTCTACATATTCACAAATACCAACATAAAGTAAAAAATGCACAACTTCAAAATTACAAATGCTTCGAAATCCCACGGAACTTCACTGGAACACTTGAATATTTGCACAAAGTCGAGGGTAACTCTGAGCAACAAAGAACTCGAAACTGGAGTATTTTTTCTTATGACGTTTTTCATTGTAAAGCTTCTTATTAAATTTTCTTTTACCTAATTTGCATGCATTTAAAATTTCCATGTTTAACAGCCGCGCTACTCTACAATATAACGCTTAACAATTTTTCTCTCACAATGGTCTATTTGAGCTACAACTTTTTCGCCAAATGCATCTCGCAAAAAAGGTCCCGCGAAAAACCTTCCTCCAAACATTTCCTGCAATGCACTAGCGTGTTTAACATCTTCGTAGCTAACTTACTTTTTTCCTTAAAATCTCCCACCTGAGCTCATTAATATCTTTAAATTTTCCCGCGCAAGAATGTCAACCAATGCAAATGCATCTCGATTTTTTCCCGCCCAAACTTTTCCCGCCCAAAAGTTTCCCGCCAATGCACCCGCGTGCTTCTCACGTGTTCCTATTGCCCCAGGGTAGTCGTCGAGCCATGGACAGGAACGAAGATGCAGCTGTTGCGGTATCTCTCTCTTTTTCCTTTATCTTTTGTTTGTTTGTGTTTTAGTTGATCCAGTCGTGAAATCATCGCTAATGTTAACCTCACCTTTCCTTCACGTCCTTACTTAACCACGTTAACGTTAACAATACTAACACACGTAATAGGCCCTTTGCACCTGTCGGTCACCTGACCATATCCCCCTAAAAACGAACAGTTATATCAAAACGAAAACCAAAGTAGTGAAGTAAAGTTTCAGTTCATTACAGTGTGACAAAGGAGTATTATCAAGGGCTGATCTTTTGTCACTCAATTCACTCGCTTCGACGCTGTCTGCCTTATTCATACATTCGTGTGCACATCACATCACAGCATGTGTTTCTACTGCAAAAGACATTTTTAAAATATTTTTTCCCACGTCTTTGGTCCATTCTTAGCCCATTTATAGTACTTTTACGGTGTCAATCCACTCATATTCGCTGTCAATCACCATTCTTGGGGTGCATGTTACGTCATAGCCGCCATGTTGGTTGACGATAACAAAGCATTACTCATTAGCTTCTCTCGTTAGATCAACCAACATGGCGGCCGTTTCATTGGTATCCCCTTATTCTTGGGGTGCATGTTATGTTATAGCCGCCATCTTGGTTGACGATAACAAAGCATTACTCATTAGCTTCTCTCGTTAGATCAACCAACATGGCGGCCGTTTCATTGGTATCCCCTTATTCTTGGGGTGCATGTTATGTCATAGCCGCCATGTTGGTTGACGATAACAAAGCATTCCGCATTACCTTCTCTTGTTAGATCAACCAAGATGGCGGTTGTTTGATTGGTATCTTCCTAATCTTGGGGTGCATGTTACGTCATAGCAGCCATGTTGGTTGATGATATCAAAGCATTCCCCATTAAGCTTCTCTTTGTTGGCTCAAACAACATGGCGGCTGTTTTATTGTTATTTATATCTCAGGGGAATTTTCGGTCACGTGGTTGCACTCCAAGAATTAATCAAAAGGATTACGTCAAATTACACCTCGATTCATTGCTAGTCTATTCACCGACACTTCTTGGGCTACAATTCACTCCAAATTATTTATAACTTACAGAGGAAAAAATAAATAAATGTAACTATTTCAAAAAGTTTGATTTTTAAAACAAGAGGTTCACAAATCGTAGTACTTAAGGTCTTACTGCGCATGTACTGTGTCTTTACAGATCGGTGATGGGGAGAAGCTGATAAACGTCGTCCTTCTCAATGGTGAGAGACTCAACGTCAGGGTCCCGGTAGGTATAGGTTGCTCTTTAATAATAGCTCTTTTTTAATGGCTTGTAGAATCCTGGAGGTTGTTTTGATCTCTTGTTTTCTGGTTTGATGTCGTGAAAATAGTCAAATACAATAGTTTGAGGACTTATTTTGATATGTTTTGACTCAGCATCCGCTAGTTGCCCCCCAGTCAACTGCTTGTTTGCCCCCAATCAACTCCAAAAAGTCACGTGATTGATAGCAAGCAATTCATCATTCATGTCATAAATACCTTCCAATGGACCAAATCATACTCTAGGGAATAACACGTGGTCTGAAATGGGTAAACAGTGGATTAGGTCTGCTTCTGGGCTGCTACATCAGGAACAAAGAATAGCTAACCCACAGATTGCATAGAGTCCCCCCAAAAAAAAACAAACGAGCGAAACGACCAAAATATTTATTTTGTTATGTTATATATTTTTCCATTTTACTAAAACAGTCTTCTTTTCAGTCGAGTTCGACGGGGCAAGACCTGTACAACACCATCACCGATCATCTTGGACTTACGGAAACCATCTTCTTTGGGCTTATGATTATCAAAGGTAGGAGCAGCCTCAAGAAACAAAAAATATCCAAAGGACACTTGTTTTTACTCAAATTAACGTTCTTTTAGTAGTCTCGGTCGGTGTGCCCGCACAGTAATTATTTTTGTGCAGACTTTTTTTTTATAAACCTCTCCCAAAAATGGCTTCCAGTCGAGGTTGGACGTGATGAAATAATACGACAGTAAATGCGTGAAGACATCAAGCCAACAAATTCCAAGTTGAACCTGGACTCGTGGAAACCATTGTTTCCTGGTCACTGAAGTGAATTGAACACATCAAGTCTAACCTCAACTTGAAACCCGATTGTTTCCTGGTCACTGAAGTGAATGCAGGAAAGGTCATTTGCTGCAAGCAGAAATGTGCGCCTTCCTATTCTTTTGTTTTGAAAGCCCCAGTGACTGTGCGAGCCAAGCTAATGTGAATTTAAACCATATACCCACGATTGTCTTGATTAACAAGATTTTTATCATCTTTATTCATAGATGGCGAACATGAGTTTCTTGATCTCAACGACAAGTTATCCAAGCTAGCAAAATATGCGCCACACTTGTGGAAGGACGATGTATGTCTTTATTTGTTTTATCAAACATAATTGGACCACATTTAGTGGTACGATAAGGTTGCAAATATGTTGGAGAACTATTGGCTATTTTTCACACCATCAGTCATCAATCATTTGCATGCACCTATTTCAAAGAATGTTGTTATCGCCAAGGCGATAGGCAATATTAGGCGATGGGCTAAAAGCGATAGGAAATAGGTCATTCCAAGATCCAACAATAACTGGAATGACTTGTGTTTTTGCTTCCTATATTCGCCAAGAACATGGACCTTAGTGTTGAGACTGATTCATTGTTGTTGGTAGTCGACGAAGCCATAGTTTGGTCTTGCAATGACCTATCGCCTTTGCGATGACAACGTTTTTTGAAATAGGCGTATCATTTCATTGTCCATTCTCGTTCCAAAAGCCTTCTCAGCTTTCTAACGAAAAATCAAACCTCTGGTAATACACACACTATTGTTTTTGTATTCCAGGTATCATGCAATTCGTCATTGGTCTTCACGATATTCTTTCGAGTCAAGTACTACGTTGAAAACATCTGCCTTTTACAGTAAGAAACAGTAGTTCAACAGTAGTAACTTCAATAGGAAACAATCTAATACCCCATTCACACCTAAACGTGTTTAGTTAAACTGTGTTTTCATTAGGAAAAAAAAATTGAGAAACTAGAAACCTACAATATAATGAAACTTTCTAAAATATTATCAGAGCAAGACAAAGGATAGTTTACATGCATTATTTCACCAAAGATTGTGCAGTGTTCGTAGATAGTTTTTCAAACCTGTTTAGTTAAACTTTAAAACATGTTTAAGCCTTGGTGTGAATTGGGTATAAGCCAGCATGCGCATATTCCAAAGTTTTGCAAATCGTTTGGAGAAGAGTTTTTAGAAGTGCATTGATCTGGTAAAATGCAGGATCACAATGACATTTAAAGTTCACAGTATGATTTATTTTACTACCCTGGGATGGAGGCTTTGCAGCATCACGTGATGCATGGCAGCCATGACATGAGGCATAACGGCTTAATTTTTTTCCCTGGGAAAGTGAAGCCAATCATGTTCTGTGGCCATCTTGGAGCCCCAATTTAATTGTGCTCCCCCTGGTATCTCGTATGTATGTCTCCTGTACATAGCGTTCAAATTTGGGGGGGGGGGGGGGGGGTTTTGTATTTTTTATTTATATTGTACTTTTTCAATAGACAAGAAGGTATCCGGCATTTATACTACCTCCGGTTACGGAAAGATGTCCTTGAGGGACATTTAATTTGCTCCCCTGGTATCTTGTATGTCTTCTATCCCAAGATCTAAAATTGTTTTTGGTATTTATTATTCACATTGGTGTACTTTCTCAATAGACAACAGGGTACCCGGCATTTATACTACCTCCAGTTACGGAAAGATGTCCTGGAGGGTGGGATATTTATACATGAAGAGACGGCGATGTTACTTGCCTCATATGCGCTTCAGGCTGAAGTAGGCGACTATAATCAGTCAGTACATGGCAATGATTACTTTGTCCCTGAGCATTATCTTCCACAACGGGTAAGAAAAAAGAGTTTAGCATCCATTAGACCATGTTTCGAATGGACTACTTCGACAATACGACGGCCATCTTGGTTCGCGAAGGCATTATGGGGCGTCCAGGGGGACAAATAAAGATTTCTTGTAATAATGACGTCGATATTAACAGCTCACCACATGACAATACAACAAAAAATGAATTGATACTGCACATCGATTTGCTCTACCAATAAAAGAAAGACAAAAACACACGAAACTGTATATATTTCACCCCCCCCCCCCCCCCCCCGGATGATAGCGCCGCTAGACCATCGAAGTAGTCCATTCGTGCAATACCATGTCACGTGAGTAAACACTCCATACCCAATTTTGCATCTTATTTATAATTGGGATGCTTTCCTTTCAGGCCATAGCTAAATTAACCGCCTCTTACATCCGCAACACGCTGCCTCAACTACATAAAGCGCATTCTGGGATCAGCGACGCACAAGCGGAAATCGAATATTTAAAGGTACGATCAAAATATTTATATTAATTTATATTAATTGTTTATCTATTGATGGGCTGCAGGCATTCCACAAAAAAAAGAGCCAAAAGACAAAAACATGGCGGCCATTGTGGTGCCGTTAACAATGGATGCTAATGAGAAATCTTTTGTCAAATGACACTAACATTGTCGCTATGGCGTAATAAATAATTGTATTAATTTGTATTAATTTTTAATCTATTGATGGGTTGCAAGCATTCCAAAATGAGTCGAAAGACAAAAACATGGCGGCCATCGTGGTGCCGTTACTGAATGGATTCTAATGAGAAATATTTTGTTAAATGACACCCACATGGCCGAGATGACGTAACGTGGAAACGAAGAATTCATCTACGTTGCATTTATCAATGATTAGAGCACACTATGTAAACAACGATTTCAATATTTTAATTATTTGTTGATCAGGAGGCTCAGAAGCTTCAAGAATATGGCATCATCTTTAACAAGGTTTCGAAGGTAAGGAAAGAAATTGGGTGATATTTGGTGAAACGACGTACGAAACCCGTGCACAGAAGTATGCGAATACATTAAATGTGGTCTTCCTTCTGCGCGTTGCGCTGTAATTATGAGAACGTGTCGTTGTCTTGAGAAGAAGAATCTTTGTTTGAGTTGTATCCGTATTCAGATGTCATGTTCAACCGTTAAACAAAGAAATAATACTCAAGGGAATGACATGGGATATCATTACGCCCAAGCTTAAGAAGTCTATAATATCACCTCACAAAACTGCACAGCAGATAATGGTCTGATAAGATATTAATAGTATCATATTAGGTATATTATATTTGTTCTGTATTTTATAGTTCAAGAAGGATAAGAGAAGCAGCTACAGTTTGGGAATCAGCGTTCGAGGGTTAATCGTTTTCGAGGTAAAGTTGGGCTTCCTTTGTTTTATATAACTTCTTGTGTGTGTGTGTTGGGGTGGGGG